GAAAATCAGGCCACCGTTTGTCAGATTTACTGTAGACTCAGATCCCTGCCTTGAGCAGGGGGTTGGACTAGATGGCCTTAGAGGCCCCTTCCAACTCCATGATTCTAGGATTCTATGTATACCTTCCACAACTCTCAGAAAATAGACTCCGTAAACCATCCTTCCACCTCACGTCTCACTTCCCCTCCTGCCTCCCATCGTGCTTGCTTTGTTCTGGAGGTCAATGTAACCAGGATGATTGTGAAAATCTTGATGATGATTTATATTCTTCTCCCTTCCTTGTGCTCCCTGGTGGGGAGCTTTTTCTTTTTCTCCTCAAAAGGAAATGTGTGAATTGGCATGTAGTCCGCCGTTTTTTGTTTTTTTATTTTTAATATACACATTTTAATGCTCGCCCCCCCCTCAACTGCTCTGCTCTGTTTTTGAACTCTCTGCCTTTTTAAAAAGTACTCATGGGTTGGGCCCAGCTTTGAAGCAACACGTTGGATTTGTTAGGTTCGTGCAAACATTGTTAGCAGGAGGAGCAGATCATCTAAGCAGCAGATAAATGGAAAATAATATTAAAGTGTCGCAAGCAATACTTTTAATGTGTATTTTCTTAAATGCATCAGTTTGGTGGCCCTCCTGCTAAAACAAAAAAATAACAGTTTTAGCATTAAGAAACTATATTCAGCCTCTGTGTTCAGGATATATTTAATTTTTTTCCGAGGTGCAGAAGGAAGGCTTTCCTCACGCAAGGTTGATTGCAAGGAAATTGTTTCCCCTGCCGAATTGCAAGCCCCCAGAAATGTTTGTCAGTGAAATTCAGAGGTGTTCATGGACTTTGACCTGCATTTTGCTACTCTCCTGTTCTTCAACTTTACATCAACGCAGTGGCTCAAAAAATCCAGTTTTATTTCCCCGTGAGAAGAGGCACAGGGAAGTTCCAGAAATGTCAATAAATTTCTGAATCCATTAGATTAAACAAAGCAGCTTCCAGTAATTAGAAAGATAGCGTACATGCCCTTTGACTTCTGCAATGATAATGTAAGGACGCCTTCGAGACGCTGCTGAAGAGGGTGAGGGGAGTGGATATGCTGGGAAGGACCTTTAAGGTGGTGGCTCCCAGCCACAAAAGAAACAGCCAGGCGTCTTGATCTAAATCTTATTTTACACATGAAGAATCTTGGGGGGAGCCTCATAAACAGCTACAACTTTTGTCCAGTCTTTCTGTTTTTGGCTGTAGTCACTAGGAAATCCCATGTGCCACTGCTAGGTAGCTCAGAAGTTTAGGTCTCTGGCTGCAGAGCGAGAGGTTGGGAGTTCGATTCCCTGCAGTGCCTTCCTTACAGGGGCTCAACTATCTATTATAAGGTCTCTTCCAGCTGTGCAGTTCTAAATTTGTTATCATGATAGAACTGCTGGATAGCTCCATGGTTTCGGCCTCTGTCTGCAGAGCTGAAGGTTGGGGGTTCGATTCCCCACTCTATGCCTCCTTGAACGGGGCTGGACTTGATGTTCTATAGGGTCCCTTCCCGCTCTGCAGTCCTAATATGATTCTACTACAGTCTTGAACGGGGCTGGACTTGATGTTCTATAAGGTCCCTTCCCGCTCTGGAGTCCTAATATGATTCTACTACAGCTGGATAAATCAGTCATTGCAAAGAAAGCCACTTATTCTGCTGATTGTGGGAGGTGGACAAACTCCGACGGTGACAATCAGACATTTTTTGGCACTGAAAGAATTCCCTCTTCTCATTACGTGCTTTTTGTAATATGTCGTATGACTCTTGATAGGTAATACAACATCAGAAGTGTCCGCCACTAAATTTAGAAAACTCAATTTCAGACCGAATTCCTATCCAAGCTCAGAACATTCCAGTTTAAAAGGCATTCGTTGTGTTACTCATTTAATCTCATCAACTAAGGTGTTGTTGTTATCGTGTGGCATCTCATGATTGCACCCCACTGCCCCCACCAGCAGGCCAGAGAAATATAAGTAAATACTCTCTATTTCCCTCTTGTGGTCAGTTTTGATACTGCAACTTGGAATTATAAGCTCAAAACAAAGATGATTTCCAGCATGGTGCAGTGGATAAAGGGATGGACTAGAACTCTAGAGAGTAGGGTTCGAATCTCCGCTCCACCATGGAAGCCCACTGGGGGAGTGGAACTGATAAAACCAATCCTTAAATATCTCACTTACCTTGAAAACACTATTAGGGTCACTATAAATTGGTTCCAATTTGACCGCACAGAACGCACACACAAAAGCAAAAAATTACTTCTCTTACCAGTTGAAACTGGTAATAATCATAACCACAATGCTAACAGAATAGCAGAAAACCTGAAAAATATATGTTCAAACAAGACACTGAATGCCTTTAAAAATAGCTTTTAAAATTAACTATGGGTTATTTGTTGTACCTAATTAACCAAGTTGTTAGTTGCCATGCCTAAAAAGTAAATTCATAACTACTTGTATCATGATTTGTTGCCTCCAAATTAACTAGTTACAGGTAGCTACCTGGCTTGTAATCAGTTATTCCTGAGGTTTTGTTCAGGACTCCAGCAGAATTTGGGAAATCGTCCTCTGTCTGTTTCTGTTTTGGGACCACGTGGCATATGCAGGTTACCTGTGTGTCTGTGTGGAGCAGAACCATGTTTATACAACCCCCCCCCCCAAAAAAAAAACAATATATCTCCCTGGGTGTGCCTGAAACAGAGCGTTAACTGAGAAAAGCTCTATGTACCAACGACTCTCCTTGGCAGGAAGTTTTGGACCGGGACACCAGGAAGTACACATCTGTTTGACTGCCACATCTTTTTTAAAAAAATGTTCTATAAATTTCTACTCCTCAAATACGTAAGTTCATTTCCTTTGAAAATCAGAAGACAAGGGTGGTAGGATGAAAGAGAAATTCTCTCAGGGCCTTGTCAACACAGCTCAAGGGCCAAGTTTCATCAAATCTGTGCCTTGTCTCCGGCCTCCTACTCTTTATGGGTCACTTAGAAAGGCTTGTTATTATTTTGAACCGGGCTTTGTTGCGGGTGAAGAGTTATAGCGCTACAGCGCTTCTCTTGAGAGCTCCTTTCTGAGTCAGGAGCGTCCTGTTTGGAAGTGCTTCATAAAACTTTCCATTGGTTTCTAAAAGAGAGTTGGTGGGGTTGGGGACCCCTTTTCCATACATCCAGCTGCAGGTCTTTTAGAAGGGGTTTTCCCCCCAGTGGTTTGTCAAGGTCCTTTTGTGGTGGAGTGTCAGTACCCTGGCTCCCTTCCAGCTCATTGGCGTGGGTTTGGCCCATCCAGACGAGCCCTAAAAAGGTGGAGCCTCCCTGCTCTTTCAACGCTGCAGAAGAGATATTGATTCAAGGCTGAAGAATTAACAAGGATAACCATCCATTGAATGGCGCCATTGGTGGTTTCCCTTATTTATTTATTTTTGAAATAAACTTCCTGATCATTGTATTGTGGGATGTCACTTCTGGAAAGTCCTTTGCCAAGTCAAAAAGCTCTGCTTCCTCCTTTTTTTTTTTGGTCTTCTTCTTGTCCCTCACCCCCATATATATAAGCTTAAATGATCACCTGAAATGCAATATATATTTTTATTTCTCATATGTGGTCGTTGACATTTTGTCATTTTCTTTACTCCAGTTGTACTATTTCTTGGGCTTTATTCGTTTAACATCATCCTTCTTCCTCACCCTCTTCATCTAAGAACGCTTAACATCCTGGGGTAAAAACCACATTAAACACATTTTTTTCTAAGCACATTCATTGATCTCTCCCCCCTAATTCCTCTTACTCCTTCTTCCTCACCCTCTTCATCTAAGAAACCCTTAACATCCTGAGATAAAAACCACATTAAACACATTTTCCAAGCACATTCATTGATCTCTCCCCCCAATTCCTCTTACTTTTCTCTCTCTCTCTCTCTCTCTCTTTTAACAGATAATAAATCCTGGCAAAATCTCTCTAAAGAGGGTTTATAATACCCTTTAAAAGTTACTTTTGAGAGCCACTAGAAAACATGACCAATAGAGTAACTGTAATTATTCTCGTTGCATTACTTTTGAAAAGTAACTTCACTACACCTTCTTGGGCCCAAAATATAACCATCTACTGCATGCCCATCCTAATGTCACTTCTCTGAGACACCAGCTCCATCCACACATTACAATAAGATGAAATTCTAACTCCTAGGGTCCTACACACCCTGATTTGTTTCAAACATGGTTTATATCCAAATCCAGCATCTTGGCTTGTCTGTGGCTTGGTTCTGCCGCTGAACGAGGAGTTGGTGAAAAGGGAAGGAAAGCAAATAACAAACAAACAAAAAACAGAAGTGAGGGGAAAACAAGCTACGGTTTGTTTGCCAGCCCATCTGCGGTGCTATTGGTAGCTTAAGGAACTAACCATGGTTTAACAAACCATGGCTTGTTAGGATGAACAAACGTGCCATACATGTTGAGATGGTTTCTTGCCCCAGGTTGGGGGAGAGATCACCTGTTTGTTGTGTTATCTCTAAAGCTGACACCAAACCACCCACAATTTAATTCCCAACTTTTCAGGAGCCTTTCATTCCGACCTGATTCTATTGCCTTTGGGAGCTCGCCTGTTGGAAGCCACCTTGTTGCCTAGCGCTCTTCGAAGCTCCTTCGACCCTCCACCCAACCTTGATAGCAAAGTCTTCATGCCATTGCAGCGATGACAGAACCTTGGCTTCAACTGTATCACCAAAACGACCTTTCAGCCTCACCGAAGGAGGAAATGAGAATCCTCTCTCTGATCCAGGAAGAAGATAGCAAATATTTTCCTCTTGGCCCAGACCACGCCAAGGTGCTTTTTTCTCTCCCCCTCCTTATCTTTAGCTCTTAAAAAAAAATCCTTTGTCCCATTCTCACCCTGTGGAGGACCTGCCCATAGTTTTGAAGAGCATGGGTTATAAAAGTCCCCGTTGTTACTCAACAAAACCACACAGCCAGGAACGGGGCAGGAGAAGGTGAGGCTCATCGCAGCTTATCACCCTTTTCCGGGCAGGGAGATCAAGAAGGGATGGATGGATCCACCACCAAGGAAGGGTGAAATTAAAGGGTGGTTGGAGCGTTCAACACAAGTTTGGGAAGCTCCTTCGTTTTCCTTAATCGGATCCGTCTAGCCTAGAAAAGATCTCTTTGAGCGGGGAGTTTTGCAGGTAAAGCTGGGACCTCATTCCTCAATTTTCCTCCGTTCTCCGGTCATCTGGAGCAGACCTCTGACCAACCCAAACCATGGGGGCCATACAGATGTTGACTGGATCAACCAGTGATCAACTCTCTTTCACACCGGGATTTTTGGCAAAACAAGAGGAGGAAAGAGGGTGGGGGGGGGTCAGAAAAACCGAGAGCTATTTCGCCCTCATGTCTTCCATGATTTTAATTTCCTTTTTTATTTGGTGACCACTCTGGCTGCTTCTTTGCCAAACTCTCCCTTGGAGATAAGTTTGAATAATCTTAGAATGGCAGAGCTGGAAGGGAGCATCTGGATCATCAATTTGAGCGCCTGTCAAAGAGGCCCCAGGGGGGGAATCGAACTCCCAACCCAAACCACCGAGCTATCCAGCAGGTTCTTTTTTTAAGGGATCTTGGGATGGAAAGTAGAGATGAAGTAGGCTCTTAAGCAGGGAGCAAACCTGGCCAATTTCAAGAAGCTAGATTCTTGGGTTCATCTGCTAGGCACCTTGATTTGCTTTTTTTCAGGAGGAAGGAAGGAAGGAAGGAAAGAAAGAAAGAGAGAGAGAGAGAGAGAGAGAGAGAGAGAGAGAGAGAGAGAGAGAGAGAGAGAGAGAGAGAGAGAGAGAGAGAGAGAGAGAGAGAGAGAGAGAGAGAGAGAGAGAGAGAGAGAGAGAGAGAGAGAGAGAGAGAGAGAGAGAGAGAGAGAGAGAGAGAGAGAGAGAGAGAAAGAAAGAAAGAAAGAAAGAAATTGATTTGGAAAGAAAGAAAGAAAGAAAGAAAGAAAGAAAGAAAGAAAGAAAGAAAGAAAGAAAAAGAATTTGATTTCGTACAGACTCAAACCCGGCCATTCCACTCTGGATTTCATACACATTGGTCTGAATCAAACCAATTCAGTTTGAAATCTGAAATTTGGACACTTTGGGCACTAAACCCTACAAGGATTTACAGTATTTTTATTTTTAAAGGGCACTCCATCTTAAAGTGATGGCCTGTCCCAGAAATGGCTACCTTTTCTTCACGGCTGACTCGGGGATGGTCCTGAGAGCCAACATCTTGGCCTCTCACCATTTTTCTCGTTCCCACGCCTGAGCCGCCAGCTCCCGTTCCACATTTCGGAAGGAGTTGCTGCTACCGTTCAAATAATAAACACAGTGTCAATATTTAATCTGGCTGAACATCGCTTCCATTTAAAAAAAATGATGACTTAAACATGCATATTTCTTCAACAGAATAAAGCCTGGGTCTGAATTTATTAGAAAAAGAACATACTCCACCCATTTGGGGGCTTTGTTAGGTGTCAGAATAAAGCTTGGCAGACCTGCAATGATCAAAGCTTATGTGAATATCCTGTTTGAGTCACTTTCGAGCAAAAATCAGAAGTTTGCCACAGACACTTAAAGGAAAGATTGCATGAATCCTGATTTCGCTTTTTGTAAATAACTCTTGCAGGAAGAGTTAAACTTTCTTGTTATCCCCCAAAGGTGGGCCAATCCAGCCCTAAACAAACCTCAAATCTCCTTCTTGTCTTTCAGAGATGAAGCAAATCCTGACAGCGCTGAGTCTTCTGCTGGCGCTCAGCCACTTGATGGCATCCAAAACTTCAGAAGGTAAGAGAAAGCTAGGTGCCCTCCTGTGCTTTCTTCCTGATCCTCTTTTAAGGAAATAATATTCGTTGTGATTCTGGAGTCTCTAAGTACCTGGGAGGGAGCTTTCCTGAGGGTGAGGGTCCTCTTTGTGACTATATAACTCTGGAGTCCGTGATCCAATGTTCACCAAACTTTCAAGAGTCGCAGAAAAGCATCTGAGGAATCCAATGTTCACCAAACTTTCAGGAATTGTAAAAAACCGTCTGAGGAAACTTCTCTGCAAACTTGGTGTCTCTAGATCATCGGGGGCCAGTGTTATAGCCATTTAAAGTGCAGATGAATTGACAAATTATTTCATCGAAGAATATTCGTTTATTCGCATTCATCGATTCATTAAGCTTGACAAATAACGGATCAAAACGAATCGCCATTTTTTTGATTCGTCCCCATCTCTAATCAGGATCTTTCCTCTTGAGAAAAAGGAGGATGCCACTAGACAGGCAGAG